TATTTTGCCTCATACTTGCTAGTTAAAGGTTATATTATTTAAGCCACGCCTAAGCATTTTTGCTTTTGATTTTTTTGGCATGTGTGTGCAGGTCCTAGGGCTTGAACTCAGGTCCTAAGTGCTGTTCTTGAGCTTTTTTGCTCAAGACTAATGCTCTACCACTTGAGCCACAGATCCAGTTCTAGCTTTTTCTGTTTGTTTTTTAATTGTAGATAAGAGTCTCATGGACTTTCCTGCCTGGATTAGCTTCAAACCAAGAAGTCTCCTGAGTAGCTAGGATTACAGGTGTGAGCCACTGGCACTTGGCTTTAAGTTTCTTTTTCAGATCAATCTTATGCCAACTTTGGTTATGACTCTCTTACCTTTGCATCCTAAGAAGCTGGGATCACAAGTGTGAGCCAATATTCTCAGCTACAATCTGCATTTTATCATAATCTACACCAGAATAATTTAATATCAATGAAACACAGAACTTTTGTTTATCCTCCACTGTTTTGTGTAATAATACCAAACTGCAGTTACCATTTTTGTTCCACACAATCTACTATCATGTAAACGAGTAAAAAGAAGACATGTGAAATTCATGTATAGCTTTTTTTTGGTGCCAATCCTGGGGCTTGAACTCAGGGCCTTGGCACTGTTCCTGAAGCTCTCGGGCTCTAGCTAGCACTCTGGCTACTGCTCTACCACTTGAACCACAGCACCACTTCTGTCTTTTTCTGAGTAGTTTATTGGAGATAAGAGTCTCATGGATTTTCCTGCCTGGGCTGGCTTTGAACTGTGAGCCTCAGATCTCAGTCTCAAAAGCAGCTAGGATTACAGGCTTGAGCCACTGGTGCCCAGCCTCTTTTAACTTTTTATTCTTATATTTGTCATGTTAAGTGATTTACTTTTTCCTGCAGAGTTGGCTTTCTGTCTGCTGTCCTTCCTTCTAGGCTGTAGACTCTTTATCACAGTGGTCCTCCTTAAAAACATGCCATGAGTTTCAACTATTTGCTAGCTCTACAAATCATTCCATAGATTTCAAATCATTTCATAGATTTCTTAGCTCTAAAATGCCCCCACTGGAGTGCTAAGGCTGAGAAAGCGGATGTAGCTTTGTTGTGGGGCTTGAGTGAATTGCTCAGCTGATGAAAACTGACATGTTGGAATACATTCACATGCTGTACAACAGTTCCATAAATGACAAATCGTCCATGTGACAGTGGGTCATAAAAATCTATTGCCTAGTGATTACATGGTCATCTTGGTTTGTGAGAGTACGTCATGCTGCTCACGCAATGATGCAGCCACCTGGCCACCTCTCAGAAAGCGGTCCCCATTGTTACGCAATGTGTGAGCATGCAATTATGGACACTCACAGCTGCTCACCTACACTTTCTTCCTTTCTCTTCCTCTTTTCTTTCTTTTCTTTCTCTCCCTTCCCTCTACCCCCATTTTTTTTTGGGGGGGAGTCATTACTGGCACTTGAACTTAGGCATCTCACTCTTACTTGGTTTCTTTCTTTCACTCAAATCTGGTGCTCTACCACATGAGCTACACCTCCACTTCTGGCTTTTTGGTGGCTAATTGGAGGTAAGAGTCTCTCAGCTTTGTCTGCTCAGGCTGGCTTTGAACTGAATCTTCAGATCTCAGCCTCTTGAACACGATTCCATTCTTCCTTTTTACTTCCATGATTTTGTCTATATGCCACTTGACACATCTAGATATTTTGCTGAACTTTATGAATACGTATGAATACTTTTGTTGAACTTTATGAATACGTAATTTCAAAACATTGGGATTTTTAGTCTATTTCTTAAAAAATGTGTCCCTCACCGTTTCTCACTTCTTCTGGTTGCCCTTGCCCTCACCACACTGGCATGCTGGCTTTCCCACAGCACAAAACTCTGCTCTCACCCCTGGTTCGGTGCCTTCAGTGGGTGTATGCACTCACTTCTCATTTTCCATTTCTTTCATTCCTCTTCTACTTGGTTCTTCAAAATCGTTTCTTTTGGTGGAGATTATTTGTTATGGTCACAGGTTCTTCTATCTTATTAACATGATTTCCCCCAGTTAAAAAAATTTCATGGACAAAACAAACCTTATTTGTGCTATAATCAGGAGTCACATCTGTAATCAGGAGTCTAAGATCTGAGGATCACAGTTTGAAGCCAGCCCACACAGAAAAACCTGGGAGATTTTTATATCCAATTAATCCTCAAAAAGTCAGAAGAAGTGGAGATATGGCTCAAGTGGTAGAGCACTTGCCTTGAGAAAAAAAGCTCAGGAACAGTTCCAGGCCACTTGTCCAAGGCTCAGGACTGGCACAAAACAAACAAAACAATATCAACAACAAAACTTATTTGTATATAAGTTTTGAAACCTGCTTTGAAACCTTGATCTACCAAATCCACCCAGATGACAATGACATAGCCATTACTGTTTTCTGGAGTTTGGGTTAAACTTTTATTTCTTTAAAAGTCTTGCAGTTTATGAAGCTAATCCACGTTTCCTAATGTATGATCAAGATCTATGGAATTCCATGCATTTGAAAATAAGTTTAGTGTATTTATGGTGATACTATCTACATTATATAAATAAAATTAATTTCCCTAAGTGTACTTGTGTGTTTGTGTTATAGTATGTAGGCTGATACTCTGACATTGTTCATCAATAATAATAATAATAATAAATGTTATTCAGTCTTGGGGCTTGAACTCGGCCTGGGTACTATCCCTGAGTTTTTTGCTCAAGAATAGCACTCTACTACTTGAGCCACAGTGCCACTTCCTGCCTTTTCCATTTATATGGTACTGAGGAATGGAACCTAGGGCTTCATGCATGCTAGTCAAGCACTCTACCACTAAGCCACATTCCCAAGCCCCTATAATCTTATTTTTTGTCCACTTGATTTCTTTCCTGCATGGAAACTTCACATCCCTATGCATTTGTTTCCCCACAAATCCCTTGTAACAATGCTTAGCGTGGGTTCACATTCACACAAATATTAAGTATTTTATCATTTTATGTCTTTTATCATTCCTTGCTGAGTATCTATTGGCTTGCATCCTAGCTTGGGCATTATTCTGTTTCCTTTGTTCCATTTTCTTCCACTTTGGCTTTTCTGAGTTTAGCTGTCTCTTGTGCTATTAAGTTTTACTCTGTGAGTGTTGTTTTTATTTTCCCATCTATGTGGTATTACTGTACTTTAAAAAGAAAGAATATAGGATTGCTTTGCTCTATTAGTTATTTTATAATTCAAACTCCTTAGAGAATCACCTCTTGGTATTTTTCATTTTTAGTTTTTGGTCAGTTGTGGGGCTTGAACTCAGGACCTAGGCACTGTCCCTGAAATTTTTCACTCAAGGCTAGCACTCTGACACTTTGAGCCACAGCTCCATTTTGTTTTCTGGTAGTTAATTGGAGATAAGAGTCTCATGAACTTTTCTGCCTGGGCTGGCTTTAAGCCACCATTCTTAGATTTCAGCCTCCTGAGTAGCTAGGATTACAGGTGTGAGCCACCAGTTTCCTCTGGGTTTTGACTGATGTCTCTGTGGTCCTTTAGTGGCACTAGCAGGTGATCTTACTTTCCACAGCCTTCCCTTCCCTCTCCTCCAAGTTATTATTCTTGGTATTTTGTCAGAGTACATGTTTACATATTATCATTACACATACCCTTGTCTTCCATTAAGGTCCTATCTAATTACATACACATATTGCTTAACAGCAATGAATTTCAGAGATAGCTGGTAAAATCCAGTTACTTTTCCTTTGAAGCTCTAGGAAACAGCCCACTCCCATTTTCTGGATTGAAACGACTTATCTGCATTCTGATATCTGGAGTGTTCCTGGACCATTCTCCTCTTTGCCTGTGAGTGAGAAAGTGAGGCTGCAGTGTGTGCTGGAATGTGGGTTGAGGGTGTTCTTATTGACTGTCATCATGAAGACAGTCTTTGAAGGATAGATGCAAGGAGATATTTAGATTTATGTGGCCACAATTATCCTTCTTGGGTGCCTGTAGTGTTTTGGGATAATTTTATTTTCACTAAGAAACATGAAAATAGTAGTCATATGATGTCAGAAGTTCGGAGATTTAAAGACACACCTTTTCTACCTAATGATTGTATCTGATTTGGGAGTATATTTTACAATGAGTGGCAAGTTACAGAAAGCAGAGATGTTTCCTTTAGTGCATATTACAATGAGTAGTCTTGAACTTTGGGAAATGTTGGTATCTTCTCTGTCCCAACATGTCTTACAGCTCTTTCCTGAGTGGCCTCTTGCTACAGATGATAAAATGGGGGCAATCATGCAGGCCCCCTCGCTCCTAAGGCAACTGCTGAGTGGAAACAGGTCTCAGAGACTTTCTATGACACTTACCCCAAGCCATCATCTTTTAAAGTAAAAGTCACTAATAGAGTTTTCTCACTCTTTGTAAAGGAATCTCAAATCTTGTTTCATATTTGAGATGACTTCCTTTCTAAGCATTTTGCTCCAATTTAACCCAAAATGTATTATTTCAAGCAAATGCATATTTTGTGGAGCATGTACCACTATACTGTGGACATTCTATAGTTCCAATGTAGACACTACCTGTAGTTCTTTTTGTGGAAATGTTTGTGTTTCCAAGACTGAAATTAAGTAATGTGTGCTGGCTCTATCATCATTCCCAGAAACATTTGGTCATTAAAAAAAAAAAGTAACAATAAATATCTAGTTGCTATTTTTATTTAGATACTATAAAAGAAAAAAAAGAACCTCAAAATAAGAAACTATCTTTGGTCTTTACCTTTTCATAAAAATAATAGTTCTGGAGATTTTCTAGTCCTAAAGAGTCAATGCTTAATTCTGCTGGCAACTAGAAAATCTGAGATAATGCACATTCTTTGGATATAGAAGGAGTAAGAGTTCTTTTTCTAAAACAAGAAACATCCATACAGCCAGAATATTACCCTGAGTTTGCAAGGTTTAAACTTACAAGATCCTTCTGCTGATTTCATTCCATAAACAAACAAGACTGATCATCAAGAATGTAGGTTTATTTCGTTAAAAAATAAAACCAATCGAACAGACTCACCCCCCTGGACAGTACTGTATGCTTCAAAGCAGCAGCAATCACAAGGCACATATGTACGAAAGACCCCAAGCAAAATAGTAACTCAACAGTAAAAAGGTATGTGTCATTTAAAAAGATGTTGAAGACCATTTGTTAATATGAACATAGATTAGAAAGTAGTATATTCATTTTATAACTTTACTCTTTTACCTTTTTAGTAAGAGAGAGTGATGGTATTATATCAGTGTTCTCCCCATGGAACACATCACAACTTTTACCTTGTAAAGATCAACAGTCACAAATTGCTCTTAGAGCTTTCACATCATAGATATCTGGATTCATGAGATGAAAAAAAGTTCTCGTTCTTAGCTTAGAAAAAGCTAAGTTTTATGTCTCCAGACAAAAACAAAGAACATGATTTATATTTTAGGATCAGTGCAATAAACCTCTTCCCAGATTAAGTTAACCCATAATAAATGCAAAGGTCAATTTTATTAAAATAATATAGTGTTGGATTCAAATTAGTGGAATGAATATCCTCTGGGTAGAGATGCTTAGATTAAATATGACATATCAATATATAAAAAACTCTGTGATTCGAATATATTATAATGCAATTTATAACAATCAAAGTGTTTATTTGCGTATTAGCCACCATTTCACATTACATGGCTGAACTAGACTGTCAACAGTGAATGGTGCATCACGTCCCAGGTGTTCCTCTTGGCATTAAGTTGCAAAATCATTTTTTTATGAAATATGAAGGAGTGCTTATGAAATCGTGACTACAGAAGGGAGAGAAGAGATACTGAAGCTCCAATTTTAAACAAAAAAGAATACAAAATACTAGTACAATAAAACACTTAGTACTAAATAGCATAATTTAAATACTAATTATATGCTGTCATTAGTCTTTTAAAAAGTCAGGTTTTGGGCTTTTAGATGTGTTTTCTTTTTTTTTAAATAACAAGTGTTCATCCTTCTGGCCATACATTTGGTCCACATCCACCCAGTTTGGAGGCAATCCTAACAGAGGTCCAAGCTCTCTTTAGGCCACATCCTGGGCAGCAAGAGGTCTCTGAGTTCTGTGTGTGCTGGGGCAAGAGCCACGGGAGGCAGCCTATAGCAGGACGACCTGGGCCACTTCCTTGATGATGGATGCTGCTTTCTCCAGTTCTTCCTCTGTTTGTTCCACTGTGACCACAACCCTAATGCTGGGAAACAAAAAAGGACATGGAAAATCATTAAGTGAAGGCTATACCCAGAGTCATCCATCTATGGCCAGAGAGCCAAATCCAGCTGCCTCTTGTTTTAGTAAACAAGGCTATATAGAAACTTAACCCGCTCACTCATTTACCTTCTGCTACATATGATTTCTCACTGCCATGGCTGAAGGAAAGAGCTGGAACAGGGACTCAGTCCCAGCAGGCCTAACACACTGATATTTGGACAGGGACAACAGCTCACGCCTCCTGGTCTAAACCACATGTGTGTATCCAGTCAGTCTCTCCTGCAGGGCTCTGTTCTCAAGGCTGGAATGCCACATCCTGTCAACATATCTGCTCTGAAAGTATCAGAACAGCCAGGTGCCAGAGGCCCATGCCTATAATCCTAGATACTCAGGAGGCTGAAATCTGGAGGATAGTGGTTCAAGACCACTCTGGGCAGAAAAGTTTCAGTAGACTGTCTCCAAAATAACTAGCAAAAAGCAAGGCTTACAGGCAAGATTCAAATGGTAGAAGGACAGCTTAGTAAGTGCCAGGCCAGGCCCTCAGGTCAAATGCCAGTACTGTTATTTTTTTTTAAAGGGTTACCAGAATGATGTGGTAATTTGCAATTTCTCTGATCAGTTAGTATGGCTGTTCCTATTTACAATTCCATAAGCAGTTTAGACATCTTATAGCATTTTAAGCCAAGGTAGATTTCACACTTTGAGGAAATTAAAGAAGGAGTTTGATGAGACAGTATCGCCTCTGCCCCTTCATCTTCTTTTGCAAACATCTGTTTCATCCTCTGGACACCTGTTTGGGCTCTCCTGCTCTGCGCTGATGTGGGGGAAGGGAGTGGCGTGTGCAATGAAGAGAAGGGAGTGGTTTCCTGAAGCTCCCACCTGGCACTTTGCAGAGTGCTTGTTCTCTCCAGTGGGCCTTCCTGGACTCGGAGCTAGAAGATGGACCTAGAGGTCGCGATGCTCTCCCGGTGATGGAGGAACTGACGTTGTTTCACTCATGATAGGACCACATCCTGGGAATCCCATCCCACTCAGACAATGCATTTAACCACCTAACCCAGGGACCTCACACTGTGCTCTTGCCTACTTTACATGTGCTCAGAACTTTTACATTCACCTACTGGGAAAAATGACCTCATGCAGCCTTCTTTCTATCTCATGTACCTTATTAAATCTTGTACTGAGAAGGAAATACAGAATGGTTGCATGGTGTATTTTCATACAGGGCTAAGAAGTTACAAACTATAAGTTGAACCAGCATCAGCTGGGGGTTGTCTGCACTCATTTCTGTGCTTAGAATCCTTAGCATCAATCTGAGGAAGAAATGGCCATATCTCTGTGACCCCTGCCCCAGACCTATCATGTAGGTGTCCACGTGCTTTGACTATAGTGTAGGTGCTCAGAGGATGGAATTGTCTATTTTAACATTTTTTTTTGTCCACCATGGGGTCTAACTCTGGGCCTGGGCACTGTCCCTCAGCTCTTCAGCTCAAGGCTAGTACTCTACTACTTGACCCACAGTGCCACTTCCGGCCTTTTCTTATGTGGTGCTGAGGAATTGAACCTAGGGCCTCATGCATGCTAGGCAAGCACTCTACCACTGAGCCACCTTCCCAGCACCTCCTTTAACATTTTTAAGTGTTACAGTGCTTGCTGCTTTTGCTATACTGCTCCTCACATCTTGCTAGATAAAGCCCACATACTCTCTGGCCAGTGGAGATGGCAGGACATTCACAGCCCAGACTGTAGCTGACAGGAACCTTTCTATTCCAGTTAATTTTTGGGATCCCAGACATGTTTTGTGTGTGTGTACTGGGGGCATGGTGGGGGGCTATTGTGGGGCTTGACTCAGGGACTGAGTGCTGTCCCTGAACTACTTTTGCTCAAGGCTAGTGCTCTACCATTTGAGCCACAGCACCACTTCCAGCTTTTTTTAATTTTTTGGAGATAGAAGAGTCTCACGGACTTTCCTGCCCAGGCTGGCTTTGAACCATAATCCTCAGATCTCAGCCTTCTGAGTAGGTAGGATTACAGGTGTGAGCCACCAGCAGTTGGCTCTAGACACTTTTTTTTTTTAAAATTAACTAGGAAGATACTCTATCAGGAGATGCTTTTAAAATGTCAGCCTGGTGCTGGCGGCTCACTCCTGTAATCCTAGCTATTCACAATCATAGTTTGAAGCCAGTCTGTAGAACAAAGACTATGAGCTTCGTATTTCCAATAAATGACAAAAAAGGCTAGAAGTGGTGCCCTGATTCAAGTAGTAGAGCACTAGCCATGAGGAAACGAAGGTCAGGAATAGCACCCAGGCCCTGAGTTCAAGCTCCATAACTGCGCACACCACACACACACACACACACACACACAAAATCAATCTGAAAACAGAATACAACTGAAGTATTGTATTGAAGGACATTCCTTCTTAACCTGTGATACTAAATGAAAACCCCAAACGACAAAATGTTTCCTAAGAGTTTAAAGTGAGCAAGTAAGTGAGATGACACTGCAATGTCAACTAACCTGGGAGGAGGGAGGCACTTCTCTTCCTTTTCCAAGTAGCGGGCTTGAGTTAATGCAATGCGTCTGCTCATGCACTGCAGGTGCAAAAGAAAAACATTAGCAGCCTGGACTTAGACCCTGGGAAGAGAAGTGGCAAGGTACACTGAGAGTACTAGCAGTTGCTAGCTTCATGTTTCCAACTGTAATTGCTAGGAGACAAAGCTGAAATGCCATTTCATAGTCCCGAGTCTCTCTCCAGTCCTTCCTGCAATGATGAATAGATGTGGACTCCAGCATCCCAGATAATCTCCTCGAGCCTGTGTAGTTTGAGTACTCCTGACTGCATTCATGATTTTACATACTTTACTCAATTTGTATTTATATAGCCACAGTGGCTAGCATTTCTGACATAGTTAGAACATAGGAAAGCAGTGTGGGTAAAGCCCTGTGGGCTGACCAAGAGCTGAAGAGAGATGGCTGGACTGTGTCAAAGAGAGCAGCACTGCGCAACAGAGCATACCTGAGAATGTGTACTGTGACAACTTTCATGGCTGCCTGTGGGCAAGGTGATCCTAGGCACTAGAGTCTGTCTGTGTTAACAACGCTGCACGTAGCTTTACTATTTAACTGTCGGCATAAAATGTTTTCTATTTAAACAAGTTCAAGAACTAGAGAAAGGTCCTGATTACAGGAGTTGCCTATGGTGATAAAAATGTTTTGCAGTAGAGTGCAGTGCTCAAGCTTGTCATCCTAGCTACCCAGGAGGCTGAGATCAAGAGACTCACAGTTCTAGGCCAGTGCAGGCGAAAAGTCTGGGAGATGCTCATCTCAACCAATAAGAAGTTAGGTTTGGTGGTGCATATCTGTCAATCTAGCTATGTGAGAAATGTAAACAGGAGGTCTGTTGTACAATCTAGTCCAGGAAAGAAAATGTAAGATTCTAGAGAAAAAAAAAACAAAAAACAAAGACTCTAGAGATTTAAAAAAAAAAAACAACCAAACAAAAGGCAAAGGCAAAAAGGACTGGCTCACATTGGAGATATATATACATATGTATATGTATATATGAATATATATGTGTATATATATATATGAATTTTACATGTGTGTATACATGCATAATCTACAGAGGAAGGGATGGCAGAAGGAAAATAAAATGATTCCAAATGTCTAGCAGTGACAGTCCAGCCAAAGAGGACCTGTGTTGTAAATGGAACGGAGGAGATAGAAAGCACACAGGTAACACGGCCAGCTTCTGGCTGTCTGGAAGTACTTGGAAGCAGGAAGGCCCCCTGAGAACACCTGGCCAGGGAGGAGACATTACAAACCACTGTGGATTTTGTGTTTAAACATCATAGATAGACGGTGGCTGAGGTAGGCTGTGCAGCCCGAGGCAGGTTTTACACTCCATAGTGCAGCTGCATGACAAACAAGCACCCAAATGGCATGCCACACGGATGGAGACCCTGGCTTACAAAGGAAACAGAACAGTCGGTGGCTACCTTTATTATCACCCTAAGGCTAAGAGAATCACATCACTGGACAGGGTAGGGAGACAAAGAACAGATAAAAGCCTGTTTCATTCTCAAATGCATATACAGGTGCAGGGCAGGTTCCATAAAAGGTAGTGTGTACACACCCACAGTGCTGCAGTCCATTGGGTTTCTTTACATGGAAAAAGAGAGGGAGGTTTCAGGAGAGGCAGCACTGCTGAGACTGAGCATCCAGCTTTCCCAGTGATGTGCGGCTAAGTAGTGAGTAATAAACTGACTTCCAGAAGATAAAGAGACATGAATGCTTCTCCCAAGTTAGGGATATGGTAGAAGAGTCTCTTCCTTCCTGCAGGTTTTTAGGAACATTAGAACTCAGGAGTTGCTGGCTGTCTCTTGAGCTATGCTGCAGGTTCACCTCACATGAGCAGCTGTTTAGCACTGGCTGTGAAATGCATTCAACCTGTCCCCAACCGCAAGTCTGAGGATTCAGCTCTGTGAGTGGGGAGCAAGTGAGTTTTCTGCAAGGCTGTTATGCTCTTTAAATTCACAGCAGAACGAGGTGTATCAGCTCTGGTGGGAGCCGAGTCTATTCAGTGGAAGAGAAGGTCTACAGCCTGCCCCTACTGGCAAACTGAGCTCATTACGGCTGGCTGAGGAGGCCCAGGGGCATTAGGACAATCCACATTATGTCTGTGTGTGTGTTATCAGCAACTTTTTACCACTCCCCGCATCTCTTGGGGCAATGAGATCTTTCTAAAAGTGATGTAGAATCATTGCTAGAGGTGAGGATGGGAGGGGCACGGACTTTCACTTGAAATGCTCACACTCACCTGGTCTATGATCTCCTGAAGTAGATGCATATCCTTCTCCCGAGACCCAGTGCTCTCTTCAAGCTGGAGGTGGAAGGCCGGAGAAAGGGACTCTCCCACCACCTTTAATCCAGAAATGCTAAAAGAGGTAAACACAGCACACTGTAAATTGCTTCTAGGCTCAAGGCATCTCACACAGAAGTAACAGAAAAGGGCCGAACTTCTCAGACCCTCTGAGCAGCACTGGACAGGAAAGGACAGCCCTGTGACTTTGATGGAAGCACTGTTTGCTGCAATCCTAATTCCCATAGAAAAGGTGAACTATGTGCCTGGGCACTGTCTCTCAGGGCAGGAGAAAACTGGGAGAGCCACTTCTGAGTGCATGACCATGTGGAAGACATCCCGTGCTCCAGAGGATACCATGGACCTCTGTCTCCAGCCTTCTGCTGGAGGGTGGGACCCCTGCCCATCCAGACATCTCTTCATGGGCTCCCCATGCCCTTGGACTTGCCCCATCCTTGAAGGTCTTGAGGTCACGAGGGGTGTGCTCCAGAATGGGACAGTAGGCAACCTCCTCTTCTGTTTTCTGAACTATGAGGTGTGTGGTTTATTCTGTCATATGTGCTGGCCTTGCCAAAGGCCCAAACAATGTGGCCATTTGACCGGAGTTTTCAGCTCCAAAACTGTGAGCCAAAATAAGCCTTTTCTCTTTATCAGTTTTGCTTCAGGGATTCTATTGTAGTGACGAAACACACATAATACAACCATGCTCTCTGACCACTGTAAGGAATCGAAACTAATCTTAATTTGCTTTCAACCTAACTCTGGAAATTATTAATTTGTATCACCTTTCTTTAAATGTAATATACCTTCTAGGAGCTCTCAATACAGTAGGCTGCAGGTCTGAATGATGGAATTTAGAATCTGGAATGTCAGGAAACCTTCTAGATTAGTTCATTTACCAATGTCAAAACTAAGCAATTTATTTTAAAAACTTATTTCCTATGTGAATGGGTATATACCTTGAAGTACCAGTTTTCTTAGGTCTTGTTTTCTCAGAGGAAAAATTTAAAAATTCCTTTTCAATTAGCATTTTGTATGAATCAAATCACTTTCCTGTTCTTTTCCTCAAATAATACAAGACACCAGAGTCCTAAATCCAGGCTGTGCTTTGATCAAATGGGCTCAACTTTTGTGGTAAGTAGAACAGAATGGAGAAAGAAGGAATCAAACAGAATTAATGCCCTGCACTGCTGCTAGATGCTAACTGCCACAGAAGCTTACAAAACCCAAATGTAGCTCCAGTTTAGAAATGGAGAGGCTGTATTTCAGAGCCCGATACATAAAGAAAACATTTAGCAAATATATCATTTTCTACAGATGTATAAACACCAAGCTCTCATTAGGTCTCAGGCTCAGAGCAAGCATCAAGACAGCTGTGGCCTCCATGGTATGCTTCCAGTCTAGGTAGAGTCAGACACCAATCTCTGTCTCTACTTGTGTGGAATCCTCAAGATTCCTCAGAGAACAGCAAAGGCTGCTGACTTCTCCTCCAAACTCAGTCTTAGAATGAAGAAGTAAACCACTGATTAGAGGAAGGTTAAAAAAATTACCTTAGATGTAATACTGAGGATACCATACTGCCTCTGTAAAATGTTTACCTATAACATATTTACTGGAAAATATAAAAAACATTTGAATACATATCTTAGGGTTCATTTCCCTAACATCACCTTATCTGACCTTTTCTGCTTGACTCAGACATACACTAGATATTGCAAATAAGGGAAACCATGGGACCTATGTTTCTTTGGGCCTGGCTTACTTCACTTCATATAATTTTCTCCAAGCCTTTCCATTTCCTAAGAAATGGGGCAATATCAATCTTTCTGATGGAGGCATAGAATTCCATTGTGTATATATACCACATTTTCTTGATCCATTCATCTACTGAGGGGCATCTGGGTTGGTTCCATAT